TTAGAAAGTGCAAACTAAAAATGGAAAAGGGAAGGGTGATTTCTGTCTTTAAGTTGGTGTAGGAAGGATGTATGTTTGGGTGAAGTCAAGTTGGAGATGCTCCTGAAGAATTAATATCTAACTTGGGGGAGGAAGCTGGACACACTTGATTATTATAGTCCATCTTTTAATGGCTAGTTCAAGGTGACCTTCTCTGCCCATTTAGAATAGATATTAGATGCATTTTGTGGGCCCCATATGTTGTAAACTATAGCTTTTGGAGTCAGAAGCATTTACATGATGAACAATTCTTGCATATTGAGTAGAGCATGTCGGAAAATTATCTGATGATCAGATGATTCTTAAAAAGATGTGTAGTGGTTAAGCACACCCTCTTGGCATTGTCACTTGTGAATGTGAGGTCCTGAGCAAGTTACTTTACCATCTGGTAAAATGGGAACAATACCTACCCTGAAAATTATTTGGTGAAAATTAAACAGGGCTTATGAATTCTCTCCTAGCACATAGAAAACCCTGAGTAAACGATGTTGGTAATGGTACTGTTTGTGGTTGGTGGTCTTGAATCCTTGAGTTCCAGTTCTCTAGGCCTTGCTTATGTGTAGCGCAAGCTCTTATTGTGCTAAAATGTGAATGATTGATGATATTTGTGTCACATATTTCATTTGTCTTTAGAATTATGAGAAAGAATATAGACAAAAATAAATGTTTGTGCATAACATTTTTTCTAATTTTCCACCTGTACCTACATACTACAAATAATTAGAGGGAGGAAGGGAGGCTCTTCCTTACTGACACAATAGACTTCTTTCTGAGTCCATATATGATTTCTAAATTTATTAACAGGTACCGTCTAATTCTTACATATTTCATTAGGCTACATGCCATTCTATCAAATATTCACAAATGATTCCCCAATGTTGCTTAATTATTTTATCTATTGGTAATATGGAAGGAGCTAAACAATATTTCCTATAACTCATAGTGTTAAACCAAAATGCAATTTGACTACATATACAAAATGGTACTTTTAGATATTTTTGTTAGTGTGAATCCAATAATTTATCATGTAGCCAGTTCACTGATTTTTCAAGTACAAAAGTAAAGAAAATAAGTTACCCACATTCATACAACAAAGCTAGAAATAGAATACGTGCTTCTGGCTTTCTTATCAACCAAAGGAGACCTGTGAATTACATTAAAACCACGTGTGAATACTTCAGAGGAAGTATGCCAAACACATTGTGTATGTTTTTAAAAGATTTAGTAGCTCCTTTAAAGCTCTAAGTAAAGCTGTTAGTCTGACTAATCATGTACCCCTGAAACCAATTAAATTTTTAGACTAGAGAAATGTTCTTCAAACACTTCTGAAAAAATGAGAGTTCCCTCCTAAAGCCAACACCTTTTAATTAACAAAATACTCAGAGCAAAGATGTGGTTTGCAATAGTATATTACACCTACTGTTATTCATGCTACTATTCAGGTGTGCCAAACTCAATTCATTTCAGCTATTTTGAGCTTGATTTTCTGTCTGCGTAGCTATTGAAGGAAAAATACAGTTTTTAGCAGAGTTATTTTAATTTTCTAATGAATGCATGAGAAACATCAGTTGTCAAACTGCATGTGTGTGGGTAGGTGGGTGGGTATACACATATATATATACCTATAAACACATATATATGATGTGTGTATTTATCTATTTCACTTAATTGTGTGTGTTTTAATACATGTGGTTCTGACATGAACTAATTAAGCAGGAAAGACAGCAGCATCCATTGCTGAAGAGACAGTTAATAATGTGAGAGCGTAAGGACCATTTTCCATGATGACCCCATGTAGAAAGAGACACTTCCTTCCGCAGACTTGAGTCAAATAACTTTGATCTCCATGGTGGTTAAAGAGGCAAAACCACTCTTCATTGCCCCCTTCAGGTCTGACAAGCCCACACTTTACCTAGTGAGGTGAATTGCTTATGTTTCTAGTAACTTGACATAGTGGAAAAGAAAGAACTCCATTTTTTAATTTTTTGATAAAGACATCTGAAAATACAGTATGAATCAATATGATTTATGGAATAAAATAAGATAAATGTTCTCAGGACCTCAAAATTTCTCCTTTGAAACATCTTGTTTCATCAACAAATAAAAAATATATACATGCATGCATCTAGAGGCAAGTCTTTTTAGGAAAAATGAAATAATTTAATAGTGTTCCCTTTCCCACCAGTACAGAGGTGTTCTCAGATGTTGAGTGCTGCAGGAGAGACCAGCAATGAATGGCCCGGCCAGTCCATAAACGGGACCATCTGCCACAGTTGATGCGTTGAGAGCTGCATTGCTCCACCTCTCAACCCTCTTCTGAATCTCTTTCAGCTGACTTTGTACTTGGTGGCACTTCTTTCTTTTTCCCCACTGGAGAATTTTGGGATATTATCATTCCAGGGTCATTTGTTTGTACCTTTGGTCACCATGACTGATTCTCTATTTTTCAGTCTCTGGCCCTAGCCTTGCTTTTCAATAGACTTCCTTTTTCTTAATGTGCTTTCCAGAACGCAGCTGAAGTCTGATAATTCTCTGCATTCTCATGCTTCCCTGTATTGAAATTTGAGATGACATCATCATTTCCACTCCATTAAGCACTTCTTTTTCGGTCAGAAGGAAGTTTGGAGAAAAAATTTCTTGCTCTCTTTGGAGGGTCAAATTTTCAATAGGTCGAGTTAAAAAAACACAGCAAAAAAAGAGCATTCTCTGACACTTCCCAGAACCTTGAAATCCTCCCAAATGACTGCATGTTGCCTCAATATCTACTGTGTGTCTGTTTTAAAAACAGTTTGGCCATGTTTTCTAGTCAGCCAGGCATTCCAGTGTGAGCTCCTGTAGCACTACTTTAATTTAGCTCCCTCTTCTTCCTCGCCCATGCATGCTCTCCAGGGGTTCAGCTCCTCTCTTGGAACCCCTTTTAAGATGTCTAGATCTTCTTGGCGCCCATGCTCTTTCCTAGTACACTGATGGATCAGAAGGTGCTATTTCTGCTTCAGATCATGTTCCATTTTTTTCTAGAAAGAGCCTCAGACTAGTGAGATTGCTACAAGAAGCAATTTCTCCTATCTCCTTTATCTCTCTGTCTCTCGGTTATTACTTCTTGGCATCGGTTTTGTATTCTGACACCTCACTTTTTCTCTCATTCTGCCTTGTTCAAGAATAGTTCTCTCAGCTCTGGGGACCGCTTGTCCTTGAGAAACTTGAGACACAGGAGGCACTCCTTCATTCCCCTCTTCATCTTCTCAAACACAAAGACAACCTTAAAAGTGCAGAAAGGAAGACAACCGTGAAAAGTAATTGAGGGCCGCCTCAGAGCGGAATGCCAACATGGCACATTTGTCTCGTGTTCCTAGATCAGTTCCCTTGTTGCCCACGGCTCTCAGGTCTCCCAGGCGATGCTGGCTTTGGAGCTTTCCAGCAAAGCTAACTTCTGAATGATATAACCCACTGTTCTCTCGCACTGGTCTACTGGATGTATTAGGTTCCAGAGCCCATTGCTTCTAAACTGGATGAGGCATCCCCTACCCCTTGTCACTGCCCTTCGGTAACCCAGTTGTTAGTTGGTATTAGTATCAGTTCCCACCAGCAAGTCCAGCCCCTTCAGTAAGTAGAGGGCCACGTGCAGGACTATGAGTTTTCCCCAAAGATTTCACATATTTCTAGCTCTTATCTCTAGCTGCTCACGATATTTGTTTGTCACTGTGTTTCACACTTCTCAGGTGTTTAGAAAAAAGCAGTACCTAGCATCATTACCTCCCGGTGTCAGCAGCTGTGCTAATATTGTTGTTATTTTTCTGGCATTGTTCTAGGTACAATTCTTGTATTGGTGATTGAATCTATACAGCTGACCTGTGACTCTTACCCAATTTTCATTCCCCCTTTACTGAGGAGGGGAACAAAAATGAAACCTTGAGAAGTTAAGTAACTTAACCAAGGTCATGGCGTTCCTAAGGCAGAGGGAAGGGTTCTCTCCCGGGTGTTTTCACTCAGGAACTTCCGATCTTAACCATTAGCATGAGCTGTCTTACACTAGGGTGTTCCACAGTGTTAATATTAATTTAATATTTCTTTACGACCTTGAAACAGTATTTCAGATCTAAGTAGAAAAATCTTACTAGCTGTGATTTTCCAAAAATAACTAGCTACTTTATTACCAGTCTAAATGAAAAGGAAAAATTGTTGGTAAACTGGACCTATTCAAGGAAATCATTAACTCAGAAATAAGATCTTATCCAATCTTTCCTTTTGCTTTTCTTCCTTGAATGAAAATAATAAAGCAAAAGTTATTCCCTTGGCAAGGTCTGAATACTGTTTTTTTGTTTGTTTTTACCAACCCCATAATCTATGTAATTTGTTACTGAAAAGGACTAGCCATTTCTTAAATATTTTTTTTAATTTTTCAATTAGAATTGACACACAATATTATATTGTTTCAGGTGTACAACCCAGCGATTGGACATTTATATAACTTAGGAAGTGATCACCCCGATAAATCTAGTACCCGCCTGGCACCATACATAGTTTTTACAGACTCAGATACAATGAAGAGACTGATGGTTGCTAGAGGGGAAGGGGGCTCGGGGGCTGGCTGAAAAAGCCGAATGGAGTAAGAAGCAAAACCTGGTAGTTAGAAAATAGTCACAGGGAAAAGACTCAACTGCCCAGCCTTGAGAAGAAGCAATATCATTTTGAAAGATTGCATGTTAATGAAATATGTATTAATGTGTATTAATGAAAAGTTTGAATCTGTGAGTTTTTCTATCATGTAGTAATATATAAAGTATCTACCCTGTTTGGCGGCAAAAAACATACAATGTCATAAATAATACTTTAGTTCAGATTGTTGCCGTTTAATTAAGGTTGTTTCATTATTATTGGAATTGGCTTTTTAGCTTGTGTTTCTAATTTTTCTTTCTTTTTTTTTTTTTTTTTTTCCTTTTGAAAAAAAAAAAAAAAAATAGCTCCTACTCAGACTGTTAGTCTAGTGACACAACCTGTGGTTACCAAGGAAACTGCCATCTCCAAACTAGAAATGCCGTCTACCTTGCTGTTGGAGGTACCTGCTCTAGCAGATTTCAACCGGGCCTGGACAGAACTCACCGACTGGCTGTCTCTGCTTGATCGTGTTATCAAATCACAGAGGGTGATGGTGGGTGATCTCGAAGACATCAACGAGATGATCATGAAGCAGAAGGTATGGGCAAAACAGTTAAAAGCTCGCAGCGGGTTTTCTTTGAAGTGAAGGTTTTCCACAAATCAGTTTACTCCCCTAGACCATTTCCCACCAGCTTTTCGGCAGCTTTTCCCTGTCAGTAAACACACTACTCTCTCTGCCCTGTTCAGCCCAAGTATGAGCAAGGAAACAAATTAATGCAATTATCTAAAACAGCCATAAATTGAAAAGGAATGATACATGAGAAAAAAGCATAAGCCTTACATGGAAAGCTGGCTTAATTAAATTCACTGAACAACTGGTGTTTTAAAAATCTATTTAATATCAAAGAAGTAGCTCGGTTGAGCTGTTTACATTTAAACTGCTTGTTTTGGCACCCCGCAGCCGTAATATACTGCAGAATCAGATACAATCTGGGAATTGGCTGTTCACCTCTGAGTTGTCCATGCCAGTTTCCTACTCCAGTGATAAGGATAATTGAAAGTTAGCTATAAACACAAAAAGTAACAAAACATGTATTTTCAAATACCTTAATCTGAATGTTGGTATTTATGCAATGCCGTACTCAAACATGTTTTTAGTACAAAGAGTGCACTTCTCAGCCTCATTGGAATTCATTCTGCAAAATTATGACATGAGCTGGAAATGTAAGAATTCATTGATATAAATGTGGTTTGCCTAGCTAGAACAAATATACTGTATATCTTTTATATTTCTGAATGAATAAAAAAAAAAGTAGTATTGAAAGGTTTATATGCTATAGTTATATATCACTTGTAATGACTTTCAAGTCCTTTCTAAAGATTAAATAAATTGTACTGAAAGTATTTAGTTGTTACAGAACAACTTTTTAAAAAATATATATTTTTATTTCAGAGAGAGGAAGGGAGAGGGAGAGGGAGAGAGAGAANTTGATCGTGTTATCAAATCACAGAGGGTGATGGTGGGTGATCTCGAAGACATCAACGAGATGATCATGAAGCAGAAGGTATGGGCAAAACAGTTAAAAGCTCGCAGCGGGTTTTCTTTGAAGTGAAGGTTTTCCACAAATCAGTTTACTCCCCTAGACCATTTCCCACCAGCTTTTCGGCAGCTTTTCCCTGTCAGTAAACACACTACTCTCTCTGCCCTGTTCAGCCCAAGTATGAGCAAGGAAACAAATTAATGCAATTATCTAAAACAGCCATAAATTGAAAAGGAATGATACATGAGAAAAAAGCATAAGCCTTACATGGAAAGCTGGCTTAATTAAATTCACTGAACAACTGGTGTTTTAAAAATCTATTTAATATCAAAGAAGTAGCTCGGTTGAGCTGTTTACATTTAAACTGCTTGTTTTGGCACCCCGCAGCCGTAATATACTGCAGAATCAGATACAATCTGGGAATTGGCTGTTCACCTCTGAGTTGTCCATGCCAGTTTCCTACTCCAGTGATAAGGATAATTGAAAGTTAGCTATAAACACAAAAAGTAACAAAACATGTATTTTCAAATACCTTAATCTGAATGTTGGTATTTATGCAATGCCGTACTCAAACATGTTTTTAGTACAAAGAGTGCACTTCTCAGCCTCATTGGAATTCATTCTGCAAAATTATGACATGAGCTGGAAATGTAAGAATTCATTGATATAAATGTGGTTTGCCTAGCTAGAACAAATATACTGTATATCTTTTATATTTCTGAATGAATAAAAAAAAAAGTAGTATTGAAAGGTTTATATGCTATAGTTATATATCACTTGTAATGACTTTCAAGTCCTTTCTAAAGATTAAATAAATTGTACTGAAAGTATTTAGTTGTTACAGAACAACTTTTTAAAAAATATATATTTTTATTTCAGAGAGAGGAAGGGAGAGGGAGAGGGAGAGAGAGAAGAACATCAGTGATGAGAGAGTCATTGATCGGCTGCCTCCTGCACACCCCCTGCTGGGGATCGAGCCCGCAACCCGGGCCTGTGCCTTGACCAGGAATCAAACCGTGATCTGGATTACAGGTCAGTGCTCAACCACTGAGCCACTCCAGCTAGGGCAGAACAATTTTTTGAAAAGAAATACAAGGAGTAAGGCACACAAATTTCTTTTGAAAATAAATGACGGTGATTCAGCAGGAATAAAAATGATTTGCTAGTAAACAGCCTGCATATAAAGTACCTTGACCTTACACTCAGAGGACGGAATTAGTGGGCTTTCCTCATCATTTGCAAACAACCTGGTTGTGGTCAACTCATTGTTTGGATCTTCTGGGTACAGGGCACACAGAATTCCCATTCACCATATAGGATGGATATGTGTGTATGAAGATATTTAAATATTATATATGCTTTGTTTTATTACTGCTTTATAACAAGTGTTAGTAACCATAGTTTTCAGAAAAAGCTATGGAGGCTCATAGTCACACCCCCTCGTAAGTAGCAGAGCAGATCCATGTCTGTTCAAATCCATGTCTGTTTAGGTCCAAAGCCTGTGTTCTTACTCTGTGTACCGCCTACCAGTATTCCTGTAAATGTGGCTACCATTTGGGGATGTACAACACGTACACATATGTGTATTGTATATGTGGTCTATGCCAGGCACCACGCAAAGCATTTTACAGTTGCATCGTGCTAGTACATACAGAAACAAAGCGTACATTCTTTCACAATATCATGCTGAGTTATATGAGTACTTCCCAGACTATTACTAACCAGAGGAGGCAGCATGTTCTAATGTTTAAAGCAAGGGCTTTGGAGTTAGATTGTCCGAGTTCAAAGCTTGGCTCTGCTCCTACAGCTGTGTGACCTTGGATAAGTTATTCACCCTCCCTGAACCTGAGTTTCTCTGTCTATACCATGTGGATAATGATACTATCTGCCTTATAGGTTGTCATGGGGATTAAATTAGGTAGTACATGAAAACCCTTCCCATCATGCCTTGCGCACTTCAAGTTATTCAAGTAACGCTAGGAATTAATACTAGGCTCTACAACAAACTCTTTGTAAATCTGCCTACTCATGGCACTTGAATTGTGCAAATTCTATATCATATAATAATATTAGATGTAAGTAAGAGCGTGTTTGCACATCTGTGCCCCATGCTGCCGTTGGCATTATGGCCTCCTGTGACAGCCGCTAGATATTGGAATGGGAGAGAAAGTCCACACTTCCTTGCGAAGGGTTTGCGAGCCTGGCCTTTAAGGAAGGTACTGACCTCCTCGGTAGTCTTCAGAGTTCCCCAAACAACTTTGTCTTTTTCAGGAAGGATGGCTAATTTCATGCCTCTTTATAGTGATATTAAATAGAGGTCCGAAATTAATTTAGAGGAGAAGTTCAAGTTCCATGTCTGCGGTCACAGAAAGCCAGGATTTATAATGTCATATATATGTTGTTCTCCCTTCTCTTGCCAAATAATGGGGATGCTTTTTGTTTGTTTGTTTGTTTGTTTCCCTCACATTGAAAATAATAATTTATGGAGACATTGTCAGTGCTTTCCTTTTATAATTTCAGTTACTAAATGGTCAGTAAAATGACCCTAAATAAACATTACACAAATGTGTATGTGTGGACGGAGACAAGAAAGAAAGTTAAGTTTGAGGAAGTATTTATTATAATATCAGGAAATATTTTCTCTATGTAAAGTTTTAAATGAGACAATACTAACTATAATGTTTGAGGTGTGAGAAATGAGATAATATTCCAAAAGGGATAAACTGTAAAACACTCTCAATGCCTACTTATTTGTATATTTTTAACAAATTTTTATTTGTCTACTGGAAAGTGCCTGGGAAATAGAGAGTTAGGCAAGAGAGGAATGCACAGATTAAAGAAAGTGAAGGAAAAAAAGCAGTAATAACACTATGATAGAAGTAAATTTCAGGATAATACCTAGCAGGTATTTAGCACTAACGATAAGCCAGTCACTGAGCTAAGTAGGTCACATGTATGACTTAGTGCTCACAAGAACACTGTGAGATTGATACTAAAGCACAGTGAGATTAAATGACCGGCCCAAGGTCAAGTAGTAAAGAGACAGCAATGGGATTTGAACCCAAGCAGTCTAATTCCAGAGTCCCAACCCTTAACCACCATGGATTTTACTTCCCTGGGTATGCTTTGGGTCATGCTCTAAGGACTTAGTTCAAGGAAAGGGCATCTAACTAAGCCAGGGAGAGAACAGATGTCAGGAAAAAGATAAAGTTCAAGCCGAGAATTAGAGAACAAATTGTAATTAACAGATAGATAACATGAGAGGAAACAAACTGTACTTTGCACCGAAATGGGAAACAACATAGTGCACTATAGAAATTGTGATTTTATTGGCTGAAAGTAAAGGTATATGATGAGGAAGAAATTGATGAGGTTTAAATAGAGAGAAGTGGAGCTAAAAAATGGGAGTAGTTCCTTGCCAGACTAAGGAGTTTTGATTAAGGCCTGCAAGCAGTGGCAGCCCTTAAAGGATTTTAAACAAAGAGGGAAAACCCTCAAAGGTAGTTTAGTTATATATTGGTTAGGGTTGTCTGGATGTAAGCAACAGAAAACATACTCTGATTAAATAAAGCAGAACTTAAATTTACTGGTATTAGCATGAAGGCAATGGGAAAGGCTTAGAGAAAGAAAAGGGATCTGAGCATGCCTGGGCATCCAGGTAGCAGGAAGTACTTGGGTCACTGTGATATTCTCTCTCTCTCTCTCTCTCTCTCTCTCTTAACTATTCAAAATTTAAAGTCCTGGAAGAGTCCAGTTGACCTTGCTTGGGTCACATACCCATCTCTTACCTAGAGGAGAGCAGAGAACTTTGATTTAAAGCCCTCTCTTTCCAAAGCCCGTCACAATGAAGGAGAAGTCATTACCCCAAAGAAATTGGGGTCTGTTGAAAAGAGGGAAAGGATGCTGAACAGCCAATAAGCAATAAATGTCCACTGAACTCAAGCAAAGATATGTAGAATAGGGTGGAAGACAGAATAAAACCAAGAATTGCAGGAGGTGATTATCATGACCTAAGCAATATGTTTATCTGTTCCAACTTTGCCTCATGGAGACCTGA